GCAGAGGGCCATGAGGAGGTTTGCGAACCTTTTAAGATGTTGCTGCCTGCCGGCCCTGAAGACCCACTGACGAAGAAGTCAGGTGGCTTCAGTCCTGCCCTGGGACAGCTGAGGCTGAGCCAGAAACCTGGTATGTGGGGTGGTCAAGTCGGGCAGGCTTCCTGCACAGCATGTTACTTATTTTGTTTTCCTTAGTACTATCCTAGTTGACAAATATTAACTGCACACATTGTTGGGATACCATGTGATGTTGAGAGAGATGCATACACTGTGGCATGATGTCATCAAACCAATGAGCATATTTCAGACAGCCAAAAACTGCTGATGTCACCAACCTGTTGAGGTAAACAGTATGACCTCACAGAAGGACAGAGTAGACTGCAGTGACCAGAGGCTCAGGGGGCCACCGAGGCAGGAAAAGGGCATTTCCTAGTCAAAGGGTGCCCCATTTCAGGTGGACAAGAGGGGAGTTCTGGCATTAGGCACAGGGTGACTGGCATTCAGGAGACTGTATTGGAGACTGCAGAGTACCCGAGAGTCCACTCCAATTTCTCCTGCATTTAGGACGGAGAGCCAAGAAGACCTGTGCTCCTGGGATGCTGACGTCATGGTGCGGTGGCTCGACCAGTGGGGACTCAAACAGCTGCGGGAGGAGCCAGGCAAGAAGCCCACGCAGCTGTGTGCCCGGCATGTCTGTGGCTGTTTTAAAGGATCAGGGGTCTCCTAGAGAGATTGACGTCCCACACCCTGGCTGCCCAGTGTGGAGGCATTTGACCTCTGTGGCTGTTTCAAGGGGACAGGTGTCTCCTGGATCTCCCCCACGAATACTGGTGGGCAAGTTCACAGAGCCACATTGGATGCCTCTCCCAGAGGAGCCCCTGCCTTGGGGGCTCTGCAGGGATTCCAGCCTAGAGGACATCCAGCACCCACCTCTCCGCCCTGTGGCCTTCAGAGACAGCCTTTCCACAGTTGGGATAGGCTGAAAGGATGGCCTGGACAACAGAGGGGCCTCTCCCTGCCCGGGGTTGTTCCCTGGGGCACTTCTCCCTCCCCTGCCTTTGCCTACTTCTGTGGGGGAGGAGACAGGGTTCTTGATAACTGACAATTTCTTCCAAATCTCAGAGTACACTAGGAGCCCCAGGAAGAGAGATCACAGCTATTTTCCTGGTCTGCATCTTCCCAGCGTGGAACCGGGACTGCATACACCCCATGAAGGCAGCACGTGTGGGTGCAGCCCTGGGAGCTCATCAGAGAAGCCACTCTGCAAGTGTCCAGGGAACCCCTGAGAGCAACACATTATGACAAGTGGTTCCAAGGGACAAGGCCTCAAGTATACGGGGGGCAGAATCGCACACATCCTGTATGGGAACATTTTCAGAAGGACCAAGGGAAGTTTGAGGTATGTCTGCCTTCGACAGTCATGCCCAGAGGTCCCCAGTAAGACAGGGAAGTCTGTGAACCAGGCTGTGTAGGGAGTGAGAGGATTAGTGTGGGTGTGGCCCTCAAAGCAGACTAGGGGTCACGTGACTGTGCTGCTGAGGGTCTCAACTGGTTGAAGAAAGAGTTGGGCTTTCCCACCGTGATGTTTCCTCCTTTTTTTTTTTGAGTTGGAGTCTCACTCTGTCGCCCAGACTGGAGTGCAGTGGCCATTCCTGGCCACCGCAGCCTCAACCTGCTGGACTCCGGCGATCCTTCTGCCTCAGCCTTCCGAATAGCCGGAATTACAGGCGTGCACTACCACGCCCGGCTAATTTTTTGATTTATTGTACAGATGAGGTCTCGCCTGCCCAGGCGGTTCTCGAACCCGAGGGGTCAGGCAATCCACTCTCCTCAGCCTCCCAAAGGCACGGGATTACAGGCTGAGCCACCGAGCCCGAGCTACTCTCAGCCTTTTAGGAAGTTTTTGTTCTTTTAAAATTGTGGTTGTAGTTGGCGTTCTTTCTAACTTTGCATGTTACAGGCATTTTCTCAGGTCATTAGTTGAACAGTTGCCAGCCTTAAAAAAACAGGGCCCTTCTGATAAGTGATAAGCTATGTGAAACAACAGAAAAGGCAAAAATCTTTAGTTTCATGCCACTAGAAGTTGATAGATACAGCCATACTTAGATATATCCTTTTGCATTATTGCAAACTACGGGTATCAGAGAATTTAATAATTTCCTGCTTATTAACTCATTGATAAAAGTGGGATGTTCCTTATCTGTTGGGGAAAAAGGGAGCTTATACTTTCCCATATACGTAGTATTCTCAGTTTCAGTTTGGATGGTCAAGCCTCGGAGGAATTAGAAAGATAAAATAATGCCATATACTGTGCCCACCAGCAAAACCTAAAGGCAGGATGGCATTATATAAATACTATTTGAGATCACTGGCATCAGAAAAGAGGTTTTTTGTTTTTGGCTTCAAATTTTTTTTAGTTAAAAAAAAAAAAGCTGGGCTCAGTGGCTCACACCTGTAATCCCAGCACTTTGTGAGGCTGGGGTGAGGAATGACTGAGCCCATGGGTTTGAGACCAGCTGGGGCAACATGGCAAGACCTTGTCTCTACAATAAGTCAAAAAATTAGCCGGGTGTAGTGGCATGCACCTGTAGTCCCAGCTACTTGGAAGATTGAAGTGGAAAGATCACCTGAGCCGCCACACTGCACTCCAGTCTGGGCGACAGAGTAAGACTCCGACTTAAAAAAATCAAAAAAAGATATAATTCCAGAATATTTCTTTGTCTAACTCCAGAATATTTTCTTCATCCCAAAAATAAACCTCATACCCATTAGCAGTTGCTCCCATTTCCCCTTCTTCCCTTCCTCTAGCAGCCTCTAATCTACGTTGTTTCTTTTTTTTTCTTTTTTTGAGTTGGAGTCTCACTCTGTCGCCCTGACTGGAGTGCAGTGGCACACTCCTGGCCACTGCAGCCTCGACCTGCGGGACTCTGGCAGTCCTTCCGCCTCAGCCTTCCAAGTAGCCGAAACTACAGGCGTGTGCTATCATGCCCAGCTAATTTTTTTTGATTTATTGTAGAGAGGTCTCGCCAAGTTGTCCAGGCGGGTCTTGAACCCACAGGCTCAGGCAATTCACTCACCTCGGCCTCCCAAAGCACGGGATGACAGACTGACCCACTGAGCCCAGCAATCTACATTGTTTCTAAGGACTTGGCGATTCTGGATATTTCATATGTGGTTTTTTATTCTGGCTTTTTCACTTGCTATGATTTCATATGAGTTTATTCATATTATAGCATATATCATTACTTCACTCCTTTTGATGCCCAAATTATCATTCCATTGTTTGGATAAATCACATTTTGTTTATCCATTCATCAGTTAATGAAAATTTGGTTGTTTCTGCTTGTTGGCTCTTATGAATAATGTAATGCTACTGTAAACATTCATGAACAAGTTTTTGTGTTGGCACATGATTTTAATTCTTGGCTAAATACTGAAGAATGAATGAAATGGTTTAATGGTAACCGTGTTTAACATTTTGAGGAATTGACAAACTATTTTTTCTTTATTTTATTTTATTTTATTTTATGAGTTGGAGTCTCACTCTGTCACCCAGGCTGGAGGGCAGTGGCACACTTATGGCCACTGCAGCCTCAACCAGCTGAGCTCAGGTGATCCTTCTGCCTCAGACTTCCAAGTAGCTGAGCCACTGTGCCCGGCTAATTTTTGATTTATTGTAGAGATAAAGTCTTGCCAAGTTGCCCAGGCTGGTCTCAAACCCCAGGGCTCAAGCAATCATCTCAACTTGGTCTCCCAAGGTGCTGGAATTATAAGCATGAGCCACTGCACTCGGCCCGACACACTGTTTTCAAAAGAAGCTACATCATTTTACATTCCCACTAGCATATATGAGGGTTCTTATTTCTCCATAAGACCTAGGTTTTTGGATATCTGTTTTCTGGTTCTGTGATTCTGAACATTAGATGCTTCATGTGAATAATGGAAGGTTATTTTCAGGATTAAATTACAAAAATGTATGGAATCACCTAGCATTGTGCTTGGAACATAGTAGGCACTCAGTTTTAAATTATTTCAAAATTATTATGAAGGTGTATGTCAAGCTTCTTGTAGACAATTTGAAAGATAAAGGAAAACATAGAGAAGAAAAGTCTTATTTTATCCATCTGAAAATATACATTTTTCTTCCAAGTTGTTTTTCTTTCTGCATTGTTTTCTCAAAATTAAGTTAATTGGGGCCGGGCAAAGTGGCTCAAGCCTATAAGCTCCAGGACTTTGGGAGGCTGAGATGAGAGGATTGCTTGAGCCTGTGGGTTTGAGACCAGCCTGGGCAACATGGTGAGACCTCGTCTGTACAATTAAAAAAAAAAAAAAAATTAACTGGACACGGTAGCACACACTTGTAATTCCAGCTACTTGGAATGCTGAGGTGTAAGGTTTGCCTGAGCCCAGCAGGTTGAGGCTGTGGTGGCCAGGAGTGTGACACTGCACTCCAGCCTAGGTGACAGTGATACTCTGACAAAAAAAAAAAAAGATAATTGGATCTAACTTTTTAAACATAAAATATAAGTACTTTTTATTGCCAAATTTTATACACACAGTTTTTTTGTTTGGTTTTGTTTTGTTTTGTTTTTGAGTTGGAGTCTCACTCTGTAGCCCAGACTGGAGTGCAGTGGCCGCTCCCGGCCACCGCAGCCTCGACCTGCTGGGCTCCGGCGATCCTTCCGCCTCGGCCTTCCAAGTAGCCGGAATTACAGGCGTGCGCTACCACGCCTGGCTAATTTTTTGATTTTATTGTAGAGATGAGGTCTCACCTGCCCAGGCGGTCTCGAACCCGCGGGCTCAGGCAATCCACTCCCGTCAGCCTCCCAAAGGCGCAGGATTACAGGCTGAGTCACTGAGCCTGGCTACGCACAGTTTTTAATGATTCACAAAGATTTTTTGAAGTAGTTTTGCTGCAGTTTTAAAATTTGGGCCAAAGTACAGATCTAGTTAAGGAAAACAAGTAATACTTCCTGTGTATCTTTCAATACACTTGTTTATGGATGTGGGGGGAGAACAACACTGCTGCACTGTACAGATTAGTCTTATCATAGCAAGTTGAAAATTGGTTATAGCCCTCTCTCTTCCTTTCTCCGCCATCGTGGTGTGTGTGGTGGACTCTGTTGCTCGCCATGTCTTCTCACAAGACTTTCAGGATCAAGCGATTCCTGGCCAAGAAACAGAAGCAAAATTGTCCCATTATCCAGAGGATTTGGATGAAAACTGGTAATAAATCGATCCAACTCCAAGAGGAGACATTGGAGAAGAGCCAAGCTGGGTCTATAAGGAATTGCACATGAGGTGGCACACTTGTTTATGTTGAATTACGGTCACTATCATCTTGCCATTATCAAGTTGAAAATCTCCACAGTCAAGAAGTCAGATATGTTTAATTGGGATGTGATTTTTTGTTTATGTGCTTTGCACTAATGGGCTGACTCAGTAATAAATATGAAACCTTTTGTCTGAAAAAGAAATTAGTTATAGTTTTGTTTTGTGGTGAAATCTCATTGCCAAATTTTGCGACATTAAGGAAATACTTAAGAAATGACTAAAGTAGCAAAAAATTGTTAGACCAACATTGTTATGAATAAAGAACTATAGGCCAGGCATGGTGGCATATGCCTATAATTCTAAAACTTTGAGAGGCCAGAGGCAGGAGGATTGTTTGAGCCTAGGTGTTTGAGACCAGCCTAGGCAACACAGTGAGACCTTGTCTCTAAAAAATAAAATAAAATAAAATAAATTGGCAATTTTTTTTTTGAGTCAGAGTCTCACTCTTCCCCAGGCTGGAGTGCAGTGGCACACTGACAGTCACCGCAGCCTCTTGCTGGGCTCAGGCGATCCTTCCTCCTCAGCCTTCAAAGTAGCTCTTTGGAACTGCAGGCCCACGCCACCATGCCCCGCTAGTTTTTTTATTTATTGTAGAGATGAGGTCTTGCCATATTGCCCAGGTTGGTCTCAAACCTGTGGGCTCAAGCAGTCTTCTCACCTCCTCCTCCCAAAGTGCTGGGATTATAGGTGTGAGCCACTGTGGCCAGCTGTAAATCGGCGAATTGTATTGTAGCAAATTATATGTGAATAAACAGACTTTTACAAATTCAGATAAGCTCTCTTTTTTTTTTTGGACTTGGAGTCTCACTTTGTCACCCAGGCTAGAGTGCAGTGGCATGTTCACAGCCACTGCAGTCTCGACCTGCTGGACTAAGGCAATCCTTCCACCTCAGCCTTCCAAGTAGCCGGAACTACAGGTGTGTGCTACAACACCCGGCTAATTTTTTTTTTTTTGAGTTGGAGTCTCACTCTGTCACCCAGGCTGGAGTGCAGTGGCCGCTCCCGGCGACCGCAGCCTCCACCTGCTGGGCTCCGGCGATCCTTCCGCCTCAGCCTTCCGAGTAGCCGGAATTACAGGCATGCGCTACCACGCCCGGCTGATTCTTTTATTTATTGTAGAGATGAGGTCTCGCTGCCCAGGGGGATCTCGAACCCGCGGGCTCAGGCAATCCACTCACCTCAGCCTCCCAAAGGCGCGGGATTACAGGCTGAGCCACCGAGCCCGGCTGTGTATGCCTTTTGGAAGGAGCCATTGCTGAGTATGGAAGATACTGAACTGTAGCATGCATACTTGTATGAATCAGTCTGCTGAGTTATTTTAAGTTTGCATTTGAAAATAAAGGGTGGCTTTCTATCCAAATATAAAGAATTGGAACCAGGCTCTAAAAGGATGTTTGCTGCTCTTTAGCAAAATACCATTCTTCTTAAGTTTCATTCAATCATTCCACAAAAATCTAAGCATCTGTTTTGTCCCAGGCAGGCACTGTGCTTGTCATGGGTGTGCAACAGCAAACAGAACACTTGCTTTCTGCTCACATAAAGATGACTGTTGGGCAGGGAATGTAGGCAATGAAGAAATACAAGTGTGATGAAGGGGAAAACCTTTGGTACTACTTGCTATAGGCTTTAATCTTTAAGTGCTAACTTGGACCGGTAATCCTTCCACCTCAATCTTCCAAGTAGCTGGAACTACAGGCGTGCGCTACCACGCCTGGCTAATTTTTGATTTATTGTAGAGATGAGGTCTCACCAAGTTGCCCAGGTGGGTCTCGAACCCGCGGGCTCAGGCAATCCACTTACCTTGGCCTCCCAAAGTGCTAGGATTACAGGCTGAGTCACCGAGCCCAGCCAAATTCTTTTTTTTTTTTTTTTTTTTTTTTTGATTTGGAGTCTCACTCCGTCGCCCAGACTGGAGTGCAGTAGCTGCTCCCGGCCACCGCAGCCTCGACCTCCTGGGCTCCGGCGATCCCTCCGCCTCAGCCTTCCGAGTAGCTGGAACTACAG